AGGATCCTGAAATTCTTATATCCAGCTCCCTCTTATACAGATGAGAACACTCAAAGCTAGGCAGCTCATTCAAAGTTAGTCTAGACCTGGGTCTCTTGAATTCCAGGTCAGTATTTTGGTCCCTGCAGAATACAGGATTGGGGTTACCCTGAGATTGGGATTGAGTCCGGTCAGTCTGCCACTCTCTTTCTGGGTCTGCTTGATCTTTCTAAATTGTGGCCTCATTCACTTCTCTGCTTATTAAAACCATGGGTGACTTTCCATTAGCTCAGAACTCCTTAAACTGGCATTCACACCTTTCACAGTTGACATCAATCTGCATCTCTAGCCTTTGTTGGTCCTCCACAGCTCCTCTGCACAAACTCCACCCTTCTGCCAATAGGCATCATCCTGCAGTTTCATTGTACACATTGTTCTCTTCATCTGGAGTTGCCCCCAGCGTCTCTTCCCATTCTATCCCTTCCCATGGGTTTCTGTCCATCTCTAGCCTTTGTTGGTCCTCCACAGCTCCTCTGCACAAACTCCACCCTTCTGCCAACAGGCATCATCCTGCAGTTTCATTGTACACATTGTTCTCTTCATCTGGAGTTGCCCCCAGCGTCTCTTCCCATTCTATCCCTTCCCATGGGTTTCTGTCCAGCCGGGTGCCATCCCCGCACTCAGCACTGCTGTTACTGCTTCAGGTGCTTAGTCATGGCCGTGTCTTCAGTCTTTTACTCGATCAAAGGCTCCTTGAGAATAGGGGCCACTAGCACAGTTTGCTGAATGTGGCCGTTAGAGTGTGCTCCAAAATCTTCGTTGTGTACAAGAATCAATGGCATCCTGCTGTCGGTGTATTCCAGGCAGTTCCAGAATTTTGGGAGGTGATGAGAGATGTGAAGGTTGTGTAGGGGAAGAGTGGACATGCCGAAAGTAAGGAGAGCCTTCCCTTCCTGGAGATCTTGGTCCCACGGTGTGATGGTGGCCGTGGTGCCCATCCCACCCACGGTATCTTGACATGGCTGTCAAGGCTTCTGTTGGCCTTTGTTTTATGAGTGCCCTGTGGCAAAGGTTCTGACTGAGCCTCTTCCATAGCCCTCAGGAAGCCGTGTAGTGGAGTAACCATCACCTCCCATCGGTACTTCTTGGGAGTCTCAGGGAAGGCTTACATTGTAGAGCAGTTTCTGACATTCTTCTTGAGATACTCTGCTAACATTCAGACCCACATGATTACATTGGTGTTTCAAGCTCTGATCCCAGCCCCATTGGTGATGAAATGCACAAAACATTTCCTGTGCCCTTTGGTTCTTCATTGGTTGACCTAGGGCAGATATGGCATGAGTAAATGAGGTCCCGGTTTTGTGTTTTAGCCTTCCCGTGTCAGATCCTGCCAGGACAGGGAAAAAAGCCAAGGAAGAAGCTGTCATTCTGTAATTACCTTGAATTCTTAAAATGACAGGTGCCCTCATGGGCAGGCATGGTGCCCTCCTTCCTTTGCCCTTTACCCTCTACAATGAGTCTGGTCTGGGCTGAATCAGGATATTGCTGTCTATGGGAATGGGCATGAATAACTCATAAAGAGATTCAGAGGGCTGGCCTGGAAACCAAAGTCAGAGATTCTGTGCTCTCAGCTCACCTCCCCATGGGAGCATTTTGTCAGTACCCCCACCACACCTGTTCTTTCTTTAGTGCCATCACCCCTAGGACCCTGGAGCAGAAGGCCTTCCTCTTCAGAAGTTGGCTTGGACTGCCGATAGGCATGGGTTGCTCTTTGGGCCGATGAAGATGTTCTGGAATTAGAGTGGCGATGGTTGCACAACTTCGTGAATATATATACTTTGAAAGGGCGAATTTTATGGTATGTGAATACGATCTCAATTTAAAAAGAAGTCATGGGCGCCTGGGTGGCTCAGTTGGTTGGGCGACTGCCTTCGGCTCAGGTCGTGATCCTGGAGTCCTGGGATCGAGTCCCACATCGGGCTCCCTGCTCAGCAGGGAGTCTGCTTCTCCCTCTGACCCTCCTCCCTCTCATGCTCTCTCTCGCAAATAAATAAAATCTTAAAAAAAAAAAAAAAAAAAAAAAAGAAGTCATGAGGGCGCCTGGGTGGCTCAGATGGTTAAGCGTCTGCCATCGGCTCAGGTCATGATCTCAGCATCCTGGCATCGAGTTCCGCATCGGGCTCCCTGCTCCTTGGGAGCCTGCTTCTTGCTCTGCCTCTCTCTCTCTCTCTCATGAATAAATAAATAAAGTCTTTAAAAAAAAAAAAAAGGAAGTCATGGAATACTAAGACTTTGCACAACAAATTTAAATATGACAGCACAGAAACTCCTAGAACACCACATGGACTCTGTCTTCAAGTGCTTTCTCTTCCCTGCGCTTGTGCAAAGGTCATGTCGTCTGGATTGTGTTGGGGGTGGAGGGGATCTGATAAGTTTTATCCCCTGTTCTGATTCAGGCTGGCATGACCTTGGTCTGGGTGTTTACTTGTCCTTACTTCCACAGTTAAAATGGAGATAATGAGCCTGGCCTTTTTGATGAGGGTCTCCTGGGAAATAAAAAAAAATGTTTTAAGTGCTTTAGAGTTGTAAGGTGCTAGATTCCTTCTGAAGAGTTACAGAAGGGTTGAAGTGGCACCCAACATGTGTGGAATTAATCCCAGGCTGCTAAGAGCAGGTGTGGGTAGGAGGCTGCACAAGTGTGGCTCTGGGTGATTTAATGATGGCGTTAGGTGCTCTATTTAGGAACTGTGAATGCTTGTAATTCTTGTCCGTGGTGAGGAGACTGTTTGGTTTCTACTGCAGTGGCAGGGAAGGGACTTGGGGGAGGGATGTTTTTCCCAGGAGGAATCTCCCTGGTGCTCCGAGGTGAAGGCTTGACCAGTGGTTGGGAGGGGGCTTGTGATGAGGGGGCTTGCAGTGATGTGTCACAGGACTGCTGCTGGGAAGCACTCCCGAGGGTCTCTCTTCACCTGGAAGTCTGGAAGGTCTCCTTTAGAGGAACGGCGAACTCAGGAGGCCCGTGTCACTCACTGCCTCACTCAACAAATGGGGCTGTGCTATGGAAAACCAAGACCCGGATGCAGGGGAGCCTCCAATTGTCACACTCTCTGCCCACTGCAGCCTCCTGGCTGCTTGTGCTGGTCACTTCCCAGAGCATGGGCAGCCTACCATCCTGGTGCGATGACGGAGTGTTCCAGGCGATTGGGCGAGGGGCTGAGGATGGAGGGGAGCTCTGCTCGTCTTGTCTGTGCTGTCCCCTCATTGTCCCTCACACACCCATTTATTCTTCTCCCTGGTCTGGAGGTTGTTAGGAAGAGGTAGGGAATACTATCCGTGTCTTCTAGAGACAGGCTAACGACCCTGTGGCTCATATGAATGCTTCTCAATGAACTACCCTGAGAAGACCAGACAGTATTCTTCTTCCTTCTCCCTCTAATTCTCCTATCAGTGTCTGAATGTCCTCTTCCCACTTCTCTACCTGTTACAAGGAAGTCCACTCTCCCTTTAAGACCCAACGCAAGTATCTTCTTCTGAAAGGTTACTTTTCTCCCCTTTTTCCACTCTCAACCCAGGCAAGCCTACTCTCTCCCTCTACATTTCCACATGGTATTATTATGCACACGGTGTAACACCTGCCACATTCACATTCATTCAGCGTGGGTTGCCTTGGAGAGCTTGTTGAGGGACTCATTTAGATTAGTATTACAGTGCCTAGAACAGTGCCTGGTGCATAATACATACCCAGTGGATATCTGGTAAGTAATGAATAAATATATAAGTAAATAAATAGAGCCCAACATCATTTGTGTCCTCCTACAAATAATGAAAGATATTTATAAACTCCATAAATATTTAAAATTACTTCCCTCTTTATGGTGTGGTACTTGATGAGAATACTATTCCAAATATGTCTTATTAAATCTTTTTTATGCCTATGGAATTATTTTTTTTTTTTTTTAGTCAAAGGTGATAAATTTTGGGAGAAGAAGCCATGCCTTTTAAAAAAATGAAATTTTATAAAGTCATGCATTGCCAAAGTGTGCTCAGCAGAATATTAGTTCCCCAGGGTGGTAATGGTTGTTAAGGAAAAAAGGATTTGGGGGCCAAATGAAGTTTAGGAAAGGCTAGATTAATCAGGTCTCTCTATTGTGGGATGTCTCAAAGCTTCCATATGATATTGCTCAGGAATATTAGCAAGAGAGACACGTAATAATTGCATACTCCTGTAAGAGTAGCTTAGCACCTACAGTGTGAGGTGCATAGTAGGCTTTTGGTATTTTGTTATTCATCGTTGGTGATCGTCCACTGTCCCGATCTAGAGCCTGAGAGCTGGCCAGCGCTTCTGTCTGTAACAAGGGCCCACTTCTTCACCACCTTCTCCACATGCACCACCTCTGCTCTGCAAAGATGAGAGAAAAAGGGAATTAAAACATCACCTGCCACAGCAAGTATCATACATCTCCAGTGGGCTATGCAGCAAATGATTGTGGTTTTAGAAATATCCCATCAGCCCCAGGTGCTCTGCAGTAACCTCTCAGGGCTGTTCCAGACGTGCCAGTTCTCATCATAGTAATTACCAAACCCCTCCTTGGTAGATTCACCGGTGTCTAGGAGTAATTTCTAAGGAACTCACATTTTCAAATTTACAAGAGGCAAACAACCTTGTGTTTACCTCGGGAGGTTATCAGGGTATTCAAACTGTGCTGGGTAAAGGATGCTATTGATCATAGAAATATGGGGAAGAACTTAAATTTTCACCTTGGTGTTTTTCTCAGTGGGTGAGAGCCTGGCTCACTAGATTATGGAGCAGAGACCTCTGGGGGATCATTCTCTTTTTCTCAGGGCCTCTTCCCTTCCTTGAGATTCGAAACAGCAGTAAACCTGTCCTAACTCTAGCTGGACTCCTTTGTTGCCTTTAACTGATGCTGGCTAATTGGTACCACTGTCTAGGAAGAAGATGAATAAGATTCGGATTGGTCCAGTCAGAATTCTGACCCGTGCCTTTGGTGTTTGTCCTCTAGAGATCTCAGGGAACACAGAGGACATCCCTCTGGTGCGCTGGAGACAGCAATGGCTGGAGAACGGCACTTTGCTTTTTCACATTCATCACCAAGATGGTGCCCCCAGTCTCCCTGGACAAGACCCAACGGAAGAACCCCAGCATGAGTCAGCAGAAGAGGAACTGAGGATCCTGCACATCTCAGTCATGGTAAGCTGCATGGCTTCAGCCTCTCAGGCCATAGCTGATGTTATTCTGATGTGAAGCGCCTTGGTGCCATAGACAAAGCTCTACAAAACCCACTGCACAGTGATCGTTGATCACGTGAATAAGTAAACGTCCCATTTGTGGGAAATGTCTCCACCTGTGGTGAAGTAAAAGTTGCAGTTATTTCTGTACCGCCATTACCCAACTGTTCTCTTTGGGAACATGCCTAGACATGGTGTGACTTTTACAGACAAGAGACAGTATCAGATGGGGGCAGTGGCTTGTCTTAGAAAGGGGTTATTCAACTAGTATATCAGAATGTCTTATAATAGTTGCTCCATACATGTCTGCGGAATGACTGAATTGCCAAGCTGCTTGCTGCTACCAAGCCCCTCTTCTCTCTTTTCCAAGCAGGGAGAAAGTCAGCATTTGGCTTCCTCACCTCTTACAATGAAGGGCATATTAATACATACTTGCCCTTCTCCATAGCCTAGCTCAGAATGTCACCATCAGCATCCCTTCTCCTCAGAAATTTGAGGCCTAAAGAAAATGAGAAGATTCTTTATAAAATTCTAGGAACCTGTGTTTTAGAATCTCACTCGAAAGTAAGTGCTACAATGGCAGGCAGGGGTTTTGTTTGGTGGTGTTTTGTTTACTGATGTATTCTTAGCACTTAGAACAATGCATTCACATAGTTAATGTTTAATAAATATTTGTGGAAGAAATGAATGAATTTCCCCAGTGGAGATAGAAAGTGCTTGTTTCACTTGTGGTAGATATTTTATGTATTAGTATTATATTGGTAAAACCAAATACATCATTTGCTTCTAGGGTAGCCTGAGAGCAGGCTGAGGCTGGACTGATTCTTCATGGGCCATATGTATGGGAAGGCATGGGTTGCTTCACATTTATGAAATTCTACAGAAAACCAGTCTAGGTCTTGGTCTAAACTCTATTACTCTGGCACCAATACTACATGCTAGTTAGTTTTGTATATCAGATTGGGAGAAACTGAGCACATTTTAGATATATAAAATTTCCATCACCCAAATATTTGGCATTGAAACTCTCCCCATAAAATCTCCACTAAGATGGTATGTGCTATGGGGAGCGCTGTGAATTGTGTAAGACTGTTGAATCACAGACCTGTACCTCTGAAACAAATAATACATTATATGTTAAAAAAAAAAAAAAAGAAGATAGCAGGAGGGGAAGTATGAAGGGGGGGAAATCGGAGGGGGAGACGAACCATGAGAGACTATGGACACTGAGAAACAAACTGAGGGTTCTAGAGGGGAGGGGGGTGGGGGGATGGATTAGCCTGGTGGTGGGTATTAAAGAGAGCATGTTCTGCATGGAGCACTGGGTGATATATGCAAACAATGAATCATGGAACACTACATCAAAAACTAATGATGTAATGTATGGTGATTAACATAACATAATAATAATAAAAAAATCTCCGATAAAATCTCAGAACATAAGTCTTCTACTTCTTCCTCAACTGGTGTCCCCATGAACAACTGGCTTGATAGATTACCTGCATAGACACAAGCTACTTTATTTAAACTGTATGGTCAAGAAAAGAGTCCTTGGGGCGCCTAGGTGGCTCAGTTGGTTAAGTGACTGCCTTGGGCTCAGGTCATGATCCTGGAGTCCCAGGATTGAGTCCCGCATCAGGCTCCCTGCTCGGCAGGGAGTCTGCTTCTCCCTCTGACCCTCCTCCCTCTCATGCTCTCTGTCTCTCATTCTCTCTCTCTCAAATAAATAAATAAAATCTTTAAAAAAAAAAAAAAGAGTCCTTGAAGAGCAAATGGTAAACCTGTGTTTAGATGTGCTAGAAGGCAGGCAGGTGAGTGAGATTGTTATGCCTCACATTTACAAATTAATTGAGGTTTATGATATGGCAGTTACCCTACTTGTACATCCTTAATTAAAGACTAGCATTTACTTGCTCAGGGAAGCTGGTCTTCTTTAATGTAGCTTGTAGTTTCCAAAGAGTGGTGAGAGCAGGCAGATCAGCTGAATCAACTCTGGCATTGACTGGAGTGACAGATGTAGAGTCCCCGTTGTCTTCACATTTATGGTACGGTCTGATTGCAAAGAAGGGCACAGTGGTGGACTTCCCACCAGCCACTCCCATCCTCCTATCATTGTGGAAAACAGTCATTGTCGCGGATGGTTTTTGTTTCATTGTGTTTCTTTTGGTCTAAGACCATTTCAAAGAACGAGTCATCACACCAAAGAAATGTTTAGGCTGTAGAAAAGTGTCTAGAGAGTCCCAAGAACTAATATCAGGTGTGATTGTGTCTGAAAGAAAGACCCTGAATACAGGCAGTTAAGACAGGCAATGTGTCGGAAGGTGTGTTTGGTGGGGGTTAGGGGAGTAGTGTGAGGATCCACGGGAAGACAGTCTAAAGCTGGTCCTAGTTGCTAAGTCACATCTTAGTGTAGCAAGGATCCTACCTTCTGTCCTCAGAATGATGTGCTCCAGTAAGTTCTCTGGAGAAAAATATGTGTATATATGTATGTGTGTATATATACATGCGTGTTTGTGGGGGTGGGTCACGGTGAAGATAGAAATGTGCCAATCAAGGATGCCAAAGGATTTGAGGACATGGTTTGTGCCCTTAAAATATAACAACCCCTGTGAAAAGCCCTACGTTACTAATGCTTTTTTTGATGTCCCCCTCTCCCTGGGCAGGGATTAATGGACCATGGGCACTGAAATGGAAAGAGAACAGAAGTCAGCCTTCAACCTGTCTCTAAAATCTTTCCTTCATATGCTACTGGTCACCCATGGCAGACCAACAATGACGTTCTGTCTTACAAATAAAATGGAAGAAATTATTCCTGCAGCTTTACTTTAGTTTATTCTATGTTATTTTTCATTAAGCTGGAAGGGAGAGAGGTTAAAAGTGCATGGGCAAAGGGTAGGGGCAGACAAGTCTTGTGTTTGTCTGGGTTGACCTCTTCGATGTCGAGTGGCCCACGTCTCTATGAAAAATTCAAGAAGGCCATTGACTTCTGTAAGAAAACAAGAATCCCAAGGGAAAGTGAAGATATAAGTACTCCCTTCCATCCTTGTCAAAGACGGTATGGTCAGTGGAGTCTCCTCCAGCCTGGCTTGCTGCCTTACCTTGCTCCATTCTCATTCCATGCCGTACACCCTCGCGCATCTCCTCTCCTATCCTTCACATTCTTTTCTAGACAGTTTCAAAGTCTAAAGTTGTGTGTCTGCCCTCAGCTTAGAAATCAAGCCTGAGGATATCCTGTTTGAAGATGTCGTTCCTAGAATCTCTGATGGCTTCTTCTTAAGAGACTCAGGAACTGGTAGACTTTATCTGATACACTTTATATCTTTTGGAGGTAAAGTAGGCAGCCAGTTGAGGCATCTGGAAAGAGAGCATTATAAATGTCAGAAGATATTGCAGTCCTTTGACTAGTAACACTGTTGGGCAGCAGAATGCACTTACATGAAATTTTATTACCCAAACCCTGTTAGTTATGAAATGACAATAGCAGAGCTATTTTTCATTAACTATAATGATCGATACTAATGCAGTTTTCAGTTTGGATTCAAGTAACATAATTTTAAAAAGAGAGAAGTTAAGGTGATTATCAAAACATGAATACACCCAACCTTTTCTCTCTTGTTAAGAAAATGTATATTTAAAAGCTTAACTGGTAATTCTAAATATTTCCAATATGTGCTGAGGGAATTAATGGTTCTGTGAAAACCTTCAGGTTTACATTTCTCTCATTTTGTATTTATACTTTTCTCATCCATATTGCCTCAATGCAGGGACCACTGTTTATTTTTATATTTTGCATTTACTGTGTTTAGTTTTAAACACACAGTATAAGTAATGAGAGACTGAAAGGCAAAGGAAAACCTTTTCTGTATCCATGTGACACTATGAGAATTGGTGAATTCTCTCTTACACTGTGCCCACTATAAATATACCATCAGCAAAATTGTGGGCTTGCAGAAAACCAATACCTCAGCTGGGAACTTGGCAATTTAAAACTTTGAAAACCCTTTTGCTTTTCTTATTTTTCAATCACACCCTAAAATTTTTGAATTATTTTTTCCAAAGAGATACTCTTTCCCTCCTGAAATCATATATTATTGCTTGGAGGGTCAAACAATGGGTTTTAACTGCCTGCACAATTCCAACGAGGCTGAAGAGATTTATTTTGAATTTTGCAAGATAATTGACATTTAAAACTACTGAGGTACACAGGGATACTCTTTTGCAAACTCTTGAACAAATGAAAGCAAAATCATCAAATGAAAATTGATGGGTGAATTTAAGTCGAAAAGTCAAAAGAATTTTTCAGTGATAAGCAAATTGTTTACTCCATAGAAGATCGGGTTTTAATATGACTTTACATTAGCTATTCAGACTCTGTGGATTTAAATTTCTATATTGTACTTTTGCTAATTTACCATGTGATCCACATTTTTCTGTTTAATGTATGCAAAAGATTTGAATGGTGCATAATAGCATTTTAATGTATTATCTATACATTTCATCTTTGTAATTAAAGACGGCAGTGTTAATAGACTTCCTATATGCATATAGGTTGGTTAAATACATTTTTCACAGCAAGTAACCTTTCAAAAATGCTTCAGTTTGATATATATGTTTTGCGGTCTTATCTCCCACCGGTTAGATAATCCTTCATAGTTCAGCCTTCTTAGGCACAATTCAGAATTGTAGGAAAAAATAATCTTTGAGCATTTGTTGATCTCCCTGAGGACTGTGTGACTAGAGCCCATCACTGAAGGCTGGGTGCTGCTCAAGACCTCTAGTCCTGGGAGGGTGGAGCCCATTGGCCAGTGTCTGTAGGTTCCTGTGGCCTCCCCCAACTGCTGGCTCCTCGGGTGTTTCTAGGCACCTTGTTTCTGGGAGCCCCAGGTGAGCCCTGGACACACAGTTTTCTTCAGGGAGAAACAGTGTAAAGAACAAGGTTCTGGGACAAAAGAGGCCACAGGT